AATACATGTTATAAATACGTATGTGCATACACACACATTTCACGAAACAGTATCTGCCCTTGGTAGTGCAGGTACACTCTATTTTTTGTTCTTTGTCATCCAGAAGAACTGGTCCATTGTCACTGAACTGCCTTCATGACTGGCATTTGGATAGCCACTCTGGGATGCACAGACTTGTGTGGCGGGGAACAGCCAGCCTCTGGGGAGGTGGGCAGCCTCTCCATCCCTGGAGGGAAATGCTGTGGGACCACTGTGCACACACGGAATGGGGGTGCTGCACCCCAGCTGAAAATTATGACAGATGAAGTAACCACCATCTCAGGGTCCTGCTGCGAACAGACCTGTTTTAAGCTCTGTATAATTGAACTTTGTTTTTTTCAGGCTATAAGCAAACTTTTATTGAAACTTCCTTTTATTGTTTCATTGGACTTTAATTCATCAGAGAAAGCTTTTTTTAGTAATAATTTCTGCTTTTAAACAACTCTAGCTTTTCCCAGAATAATTTAAAAGAACACTTGATTTTTTTTTACATTCATGTTTAAAACCATTTCTATTAACACAATTACCTAATGTTTTCCTCCGCTTTCAAAACACAATGTGCGGGAAGACGCTAGACGGAGACTCCCGCCCTCAGCTCTCCCTCTCCTCAGGTGCTGCCACACCCAGGGCAGGCACCTTGGCTTCACATCTTGGCATGGGGGCCTCACAGGAACCCCATCTTCCTGGCTCCCAAGGTTCCGGCACCAGGTACTCCTCCCTGGGATGAGCGCTGCCCTTTCGGTGTTAAGCCAAACTACAGGTATTAAGGATATTTCCAGTGGTTCAAACATACAAGGGAATATTTCATTCTGCCGAGAGAAATCTCAAGTATCTTTTCTCAAAGGTTACCTTACAAAATAACTTTTTTCAGTTCACACTTCTAAACAGAAGATGATCGTGGTATTTCCCCCAACAGTACACAACTCATCTCTATTAGCATAAGCAGCTATGACAGAAACTTACTCATAAAGATGGTATTCCAAATCCATCTACCGCCCTTCCCGACACCACTGACACCCAACCTGCAACAGATTCTACACTTCTGCATTATCCTCACCTAGGGGCCAGGGGCCCCGGAAGGACTTGTGCTTTCGGCTGCTCTGCTGAGTCCCTGGGAGAGGAGTGTGACCCAGTGACTCGCCTTTGTGTTCTCGGCCTACACCTTGCAACTCAACCTTATCGACTAGATATTTAAATGCTACTACATGTCTGTATAACCCTCACGCACCTCACCTTAGACCTACAGAAGCGGGCCCTCCACCCAGAGTCTGGCGGCTGCTGAGTCTGCTTTACAGTGTTGGAGCCTCGACCCTCCACAGAACAGGACCCAGTACGCGGTTCTCACCACGTACACATTACACCATGGGGCGGTTCAGGTTTCTTTCTTTCTGGGGGCAGGGGCTTCAAGATTTACAGCTGTTCGTTTACTTTCCTACCTCCAGGTAAGCACACGGCTCTCTTGCGGGAGCTGCCTGAAATAGCACAGATGCGCATTCACGTCAGACAGACCTCGGAAGGTGCTGACGGGGGGGTCTTCGGTGAGTGTGGTCACACTCGGTGATAGCCCCGTGTCCGCTCCGGGCTGCTGTGTTAGGTGGGGTCTTGGCCTGCGCGTGTCCCTGGAATCCTGTAGACAGCACTGGTTTTCAGTGTGAGCTTTATGATGGTTTTGCATCCACAACAAAATCTGAGGATAAAGTAGTTGGAATTATTTTCTTTACTATGTCATAGGACTTAAGAGTTAGAGGAGCAGAATTTTAAGTTATACCCTGTATTGGTGCATTTATAAAATATATCACAAGTAAAACAAAAGAATTTGGTATAAAAGGATTTTTTTCTACCTTTGGGATTAAAACTTTTCCTATTAAGATTGTTAACATTTTAACTTCTGAAGGATATTAATGGGTATTATGATCAAGGACTCAAAATATATCTTTTTAAATATAAATTTAAAAATCTACTCATGATATCCTAACCCGGTGACCTCAGGTCATCTGTAGGGTAACATAATAACCTTAAAACTGAAAATGGGTGTTAGTCAAATGTCGTAAGAGCTAAATATCATGGTTCCATCATTAGGAAACACTACGAATGTGCGCAGAAATAACATTTCGTGATTTCTATTTTAAGTTTTTCAAAATGGTACACTAGTAATTGATTTCTTTATATCTTGGCTGCATGAAATGGGTCCTTTTAAAAAACAAAGGAAAACATAACAGCCAGGCAAACCCAGCCAGGATCGCTGGGCAGTGAGGGAGCCACAGCGGACTCTCCTGGCGCTTGGTGCCAGCAGCCCGGTGCCAGGGCGGCAGGCACTGCGGCATGTGGGCAGGGGACTGTTCTGCTGGCTCCCACCTGCCCCAAGGCCGGAGTCCAGGCAGAAGTTGGCCTCCGTGGGGTTCCCGGCGTGCTGCCAACCCACAGCCCCCCAGGGACACTGCTTGGGGATGCCGGCCAGATCCCACATGAGAAGTCCTCCTTACAGCCTCTCCAACCGCAGCAGCTTCAGCGAAGGTGCTCCCTTCTGTTCTACCTCACGGTGTCGTGCGCTGGCCAGGAGGGAGGGGGAAAGCAACTCACCAAGCGTCACACGATGCACAGGAAAAGGTCTGCAGAGCAGTTCACATGCGGACGAGCCCAGCATGTCCAGCTCTCAGCTCAGCTCAGGAAGTTTTATTGCCAGTGATTTTTAGAAATTGAAATATAATTATGGCCGTGTACTTTGGACCTTGTATCACTGTTTTCTCGAAAAGAGTGGCCCAAAACCATGGCCACCCAAATCCGTAATAATCCATGTACCACTTGACAAGTCAATACACAAACATATTTAGATGTGAGGCTCCGTAGCAGAGAAACACACTGAAAAAGAAGATGTCCTCAAAAAGAGGCCGTCACTGCCATTCTTAAAGCCACAACTAGGAAATATTCCCTCTAATAAGGTGTCCAGATACTACATACATGTACTCAGATGAATAATTACACACGTGTGGATGTGCAGACAGACGTGGTCTGCTCACACAGACATGCCATCTCTTCTCTGAACCAATAAAGACAACACGCTACTAAGGAGCGTTGCATTTTATCGTCCCTTTTCCCCCCAGAAAAAAAGTGAAACTCATACTCTTACATAACTTCTTTCAAATGGATAAACTTAGACAATTTATCAACGCTTCCTTAATTTTTTTACACCACACAGAACTCCAACAGGTTTTTGTTTTAAGGTAACCCAGGTTTTGGGTTCTTCCCTGTGGAGAAGTTACTTTCAAGTCAGTGAAAGTTCTTGGCCCATGATTAAAAGTCTCTGCCAATTAGTACTCAACAACTTCAATTCGTTTTTTCTGGTTCAAGATGAGTAGGAGCCTAATAAGGCTGTGATAAAAGGGCAAAAGGCACTGAGAGCCAAAAGCGGATTAATGAGCTCCTCCATTTATTTGTCTTCCTAACAGCTGAACTGTTACAACTATTGACACTCTTCAAAAGGTTCCGCTCTGAACCCTGTCCAGGCACTGCAGGCTCCAATGGACATCTTCAAATGCAGAGAATGGAGGGGCAAGAGTTTCCCCCGTGTGATGCCAAAACCAACAAAGCCCCATGGATCAGGTAATGAAACTTCAGCTTTTCCCCCTTTGAGATTTATTTACTGGCAGCTGACAAGGGGCAAATTCAGCTCGAATTGTGCAGTCAAGGCCTGTCAAGCTTTTAGAGGCACCCTTGTCTTGAAGCACCTTCATGACTGGCATTTCGCTCAAAAGCCCTCGGCACTGGTCCTTAACAGCTTATGACATCACAAAGGACACTCCAGACAGATGCCTACATGGCATCCTGCAGCATTTTAAAAGAGAATTAGTGGTTTTAATTATGGTCGTAGTATGAAAGGGAACCATGCAAGCTCCGCAGGAGACCTTTGATCAGACCCTTTTGCTAGTACAATGCCGCGGAACTGTGACTACTCCTGGTAAGGGGCCTTTTCTCGCTGAATGACTCACCAGTGATCTCTGAATGCAGACAAGCTTCTAGCCCTCCCTCTTCATTAGTGAGCATTTCTATACAGGGGCCTATATAGTGCCTGGAGTCTCGGAGCCACACAATGAGGGGAAAGAATCCTACAGATTCGGGCCTCTACTTAGGAAGTACTGAAGGACTCTGAGTGACTTTATTCATTAAAACAGGTTGCTATTAATTAACTGTCATAATAAATAAAGAACTATTATTTGAATTTCTTACTATGTTCTCTTTAGTAATAGGTATAAAAGATGCTTGTAACAGAAATGAATTTATTGAACACCCCCCCACACACATTTTTTGTGCATTTGGGTAGCAGGAACCAGTGGGTTTAGACTTTTGAGTCCAAATCGAAGTAAAATATAAAATTAATTAAGTAAATATGAAATGCTTCTCACTTGCCAGTTTGTGCACCAAATTAGCTTTTCTGTTTTCGTGAACGCAGAGAACTACCTGAGACAATACAACTCAGACCTCCCGCAGTATCACCTGCTTGGCGTAGCGTTCGGAGGGCCGTATGTGATGACGGCTCCTTTCTGTCAGAAAACGAATTTTAAACGTGAAGCATAACATGATTCATTCTTCTTTTTTTTTTTTTTTT